GTCCAAGCCACGAGCAGCCAGTTTCTTCAGGAGAATGCTGTGGGAGACGGTGTCAAAGGCTTTACTAAAGTCTGGGTAGACCACATCCACTGCCTTTCCCTCATCCACTAAGCCGGTCACCTGGTCATAGAAGGAGATCAGGTTGGTCAAGCAGGACCTGGCTTTCATAAACCCATGCTGACTGGGCCTGATCGCCTCGTTGTCCTGTACGTGTCCTGTACGTGATGGCACTCAAGATGATCTGCTCCATAACCTTCTCCAACACCGAGGTCAGACTGACAGGCCTGTAGTTCCCCAAATCCTCCTTCTCACCTTTCTTGTAGATGGGCGTCACATTTGCTAACTTCGTAGCAGTAGCAGTAAAGATAGTTCAACTGGATTCAAAGTATCATAGATATGTTATCAGTTTGTGCTGTGGACAAAACCAGACAGAAAGCCAATGCAGTTTATGAAACACCATTGTATAACATTGTGCAGTGCTTTTCAGCTAGATTTGCCACAATTTTCACCTGCAATATATGGTTTAAATTGTGAAATGCCGCAGACTGTGAAACTTGTACACTGAAAAATTTAATGCTGCCTATTACTAAAAAGTAATATCCATTTGTTTTACCTGAGAGTCCAAGAACCAGTGTTTGAAGAAATAAGTAAAGGTTATCAATCTCTTAAATCCTAGACTGTGAGTTTTGCACATTTGAAGAAACAGCAGCAGGCCAGTCTTGCCTCTTAAAATTCTCAGTTGGTTGGTTATAATAAATAATAAATGTCATGTTTCAGGACACTCTTAATCCATTAGACCTTAAAGAATGTTCGCGTGTTGTCTTGAGCTCTCAAACTTTCCTTTTTTGACTCTCTTGTCTCACCTCAGTATCTTCGTGGTTATCTATGTCACTGTATAACAGAAAAGATATCGTAAATGTGCAGGGAATACTATCTTCTAATTCTCAGCTTCAGAAATGGCATATCATTATCAGACGCTCAGGCAGTACAAATTTATCATCTTTTCTTTATTATCCAATCCACTAGTTTTGAAATAACTTTCAGAGTTAAATGCTTTGATGTTAAAATATTCTGTTCATCTAATAAAGCTAAGCTATATCAGGATTTGCATGTCCCACTCTAACGTGATCATACTTTCTGGTTTGGGGCATGTATCTTATTTTGTTTTTACCTTTGAAATGTTAAGCTATTTTTATTTTTGTGAAGTTTGCCAATAACTGCTTTATCAGCCCTTGTTTAAGGGCTACTTCATGCTTTAACATGGAAGTTCCACTGAAATGTTAGGCTTAAGGTAACAATACAAAATGGTAAACTATAGATCTAATATACACTGTATACATTTATAAAATTCCTGGATTACTCATGAATTGCATTTTGGGATGGGGGAGCAAATGAACCGTCAGATTGGTTTCTTATGTCCCAGTAAAATAGGTCTAAGAACATACTTACAAATCTTACAAGTGTAAGATTTACACTTGTATTTGAGGGACTAAATACAGATCAGACAATTCCATCAAAGCTGTACTTGCATTTCTACTTACTGCTGAGGGAATTCTGCATTCCTTTCAACTTATTAATAAAATGGACTGACAAAAATTTAAATGTTTGTCTTGCTAATGTGTTTGTGGTAGCTTTCCTTTAATTGCCCTTCTGATTGCTGTATTCTGCTTTTGTTTAGTTCTGATCATTAAATTGTGATGATCTAAAATGAGTCATCTGTATGCTTGCAGAAAAGTCTATTTTAGCTGGCAAAAATTCTTTGGTAATAATCAAAATAGACTTTTTTTCTAATGCATTATAAGATTTTACTTACAAACCAGAAAACGCCATGTATCAGGAAGCTTAATGTGTTCCAGCTGTACAGAAACACTTTCTGCTGTCTACTTTTACAGGTCCGATTTGTGAAGAATGTGACTTCCTGGAAGGAAATGAAACCAGGATTTTACCACGGACATATATCTTATTTGGACTTTGCAAAGTATGTTACCCTTGGATTTATCTGTTGAGTAGCATAGTGGTTTAAGTTGCTTGGATCCAGCTGGGATATTAGTGCCCTCTAGTGATGAAAGTCTGACAACTGCAGTTTTGAAAAATTCACACTGAAATTCCTATGATGAGCAATATTTGGTTTTGATATTCGGTTTTCTCTTGTCTTTTTGCATGATAAAATGTAGCCGAGTCTCATTTCAAAACTATTTATATGCTAGGTTTAATATTCCTTGTCTGAATTAGAAGCTTGTCATATGAAAATCCTGGTTTTTCTCTGGAACACTGGCAGTTCTGCCTTAGGATTGGCTTCCCATTCTGGGAAGTTTAAGATACCTGTTGTCGTGGTTTAACCCCAGCTGGCAACTAAGCCCCAGAGAGCTGCTCAGTCACTACTGCCCCATGGGAAGGGGGAGAGAATTGTAAGGGTTAAAGTGAGAAAACCTGTGGGTTGAGATAAAGACAGTTTAATAGGTAAAGCAAAAGCCGCGCGCGCGCAAGCAAAGCAAAATGAGGAATTCATTCGCTACTTCCCATCGGCAGGCAGGTGTTCAGCCATCTCCAGGAAAGCAGGGTTCCATCACGCGTAACAGTTACTTGGGAAGACAAACGCCATCATTCTGAACATCCTCCCTTCCTTCTTCTTCCCCCAGCTTTATATGCTGAGCATGATGTCATTATGGTATGGAATATCCCTTTGGTCAGTTGGGGTCAGCTGTCCTGGCTGTGTCCCCTCCCAAATTCTTGTGCACCCCCCGCCTGCTCGCTGGTGGGGTGGGGTGAGAAGCAGAAAAGGCCTTGACTCTGTGTGAGCACTGCTCAGCAGTGACTAAAACATCCCTGTGTTATCAACACTGTTTTCAGCACAAATCTAAAACATAGCCCCATGCTAGCTACTATGAAGAAAATTAACTCTATCCCAGCCAAAACCAGCACACCTGTTCTCAAATGTTTCATATAACAAGTAATACCACCTGCCTCTTAAGTTATGTAGTTCTTCTCTATCAGAGTATCCCTTTACAGTTTACCAAAATATTAAAAGTTGTGTTTTAAAGCAGTTTTCTGGCCTATAGTGATTTTGGCTTGCTGTAAAAAGCATTGAAATAATTCTTGTGGAGTTAAATCCTGCTACTTCTAAAATTAATTTAAAAGAAAATGAGGTAAAAATCCTCCCAGTGACTTCAAAGGTTCAGGATCATATCTTTATTCCTGCTTTCATGTGTTTCTTTTCTTATTTTTGCTTCTGGATCTAAAGCAGTGATCCTCAGTACTTCAGTCTTGTGAAACCTCCCCTTGAACTGGCAAGTCAGTTTTGCTTAAGATGCTTACTAGGCAGTGCTTCATCTTGCACTTGCAGCATGTGGAAAATGATTTAAAATTGAAAGTGGATTTTTCAGATCTCCACATATTCGACTGCACAAACAATAGTAACCACTACTTTTACCTCTTGCTGATGGTCAGTCCTCAGTAATGTTCCGTTTCTGTGTATTAAAACATTTATTTAATGAAATGAGTTTTTTGTATGTAAGAATTTCTTTTGTTTAGTCATTGCTTTTAATTATTCATTCTGTTATGTACACTGATTTTTAATTCTAGCTTTTTGTTACAAAGAATGAGAAGGGGAAGTGAGAGCTTCATAGATTCCCAGTACAGTATATTGTATAATAGAAAATGCTAAAAGCTACAGTAGTAGCTGAAAATTACCAATGGCACCAAGTAAAAGCTTGAGTTTACAAAACAAAAGTTTACAAAAAGTAACAGACAAGATGTCTTAATTGCAAATCAATCAATAAAAATAAAATGTATCAAATTTCATTAGCTTCCTTTCTGCCTTTTTAAAGTTAAAAAGCTGCACCATTAATAAACCCTTGAACTGAATAACAGCTTTCTGGAACAGCAAAGGTGAATGTTATTTTATACATTACTCACTTCATAAAGCTGAAAACATTTTCAGATACTGGAACTTTTTAAACTAAAATAATTATTTTACATCTAGAAAGCATCTAAGCAATTTCACAGATTTCTTTCATCTGCATCTTCTCTCCAGGACTATGTTATCCTTGTGTTTGTTATCCTTTCACCTAAATGATTTATTTTTTCCCCACAACAGCTTCCTATCTCATACTTTGGGTTTTCATTATTAAAATAATATCTTGAATACTCTGGTTGTGCTTGGCAAGGCCCACGCTTTTAAGGCTGCGAGGTATGTTCTTGTAGTGAACGTTCTTGTAGTTGAGAAGTGTAAAGTATTTCAGAAAAGTCTATGCCTGCTTATACACAGACATCAGACTTAGGTCCTCTGTCAAATATCAGAAGTACCTCTTAAATTATGCTGAAGCTTCAAGTACTGGATTCAATTGATGACTTACAGTATTGAGGACAAGTTATCATAACCCATGATGTAGAAATTACAGTAATAAAAGTTTAAATTTTTTTCCCTCTTTTTTTAATTTCTGATGCACCCTTATTCCCTATTTTCTCTGGTAAATGGTTTGAAAAAAAGTTCTTTTGACAATGCAATTGCCAAATCATTATCATTATTAATAAAGTTACAATAGTAAGTGCCTTATGTTATTGTAACTGAAGCTAGTTTTGTGAGGTCATGTGCAAATCCATATGAATGTACAATCCAGCACAAACATTTCCAGGGGCTTTGACACCTTCATTTAACCCACAGATGCATATTATTGGTTGTGGCTGCTACTATGTCAAAATGGTTTGTTACCGCCTTCTACAGCATTTGCAGTAGAGTCTGTAGAAGGGGACACACACACGTGTCTCAGGCACTTCAGTGGACCTGAAAGAGGGTGCAGTTCAAAGTCTGGACTTCCCATCAAAATGGTTGAAACTTTCACACACTCCTATTTTGTGGACTTTGGGGAGTAAGAGCTGGCATACAGACAAATGTCAGCAATGCCGCCTTTAACAGCTAGAGTCTGATTCATTGGTACTCTGCTGGCAACATCTGAAGAATCAATTGCTCTTTCTGTAGCCTTTAACAATTTCTGTATCTGTAGTGCTGATCTTTTGCCAAAATAATGCCTTTTAATTGTTTTTTTCTAACTTCCTCTTTTGTGCTGCTTATTCTATGTTTCTCTTCTTCAGCTTTTCAACTTAGATTCCTCATATGAGCAGTATCTGGTATTATAATTTACAGAGTACCACTTTAACAATAATGGTACTGCCTCTTAAAACTGCGAGCACTCTCTGTTTTAGCCAAGCTAGGAGGCTTGAATGGCCCTCTGTCAATGCAGAACACTTTCCCAGTTTGCATGGGAACAGAAGAGAATCTTTTTTTCCAGCTTCTAGCTTTACTTCAGGGCACTTGACACGCTTGCAATTTCCATTGTGATATAACCTCTTTAATGTTTGGATACCATATTCATTTGCCACAGTAATGTCTCAAATGGAAAAGAAAATAAAACTGAGAAATGTATCGTAAAAGCTGTGTCGAATGTAGATCATTGAAAGGTAGCATTTGCACAAAACAGTTTTGGTGGTTTAAATCTTTCTCGTGTGTCCCATGAGCTTACCACCTCATTTCATCAAGCTTCCTGTTTGTACCACAGTAAATCAAACTTTGCTTAGGGTAAATGTCTAAGGAAAAATTTTATATCTTTCGATAGAGAAGTTCATATGGTTACAGATGCTATCTTAGGCTTATGTTTAATAAGCATAGCCATATGGATTCAAGCCAGGTAATGGATGGGCTCTGAGCTCTGTCTTCCTTCTGTTAGAGTTCGTGTCTCTGACAACTGGAGGCCTGCCAGGAAAACCACTTGCAGCATTGCATAGCACAGTTCAGGAGGGCAGAAACTCAATATCAAACTTCCTTGCACTTATTATAAACACGTACGTGGCTGCTAGACTAATCAAGGCATTTCTAGAGACAGGATGGTTGTATAAACATTTTTAGTATCTATTGTGTGAGGATATTTCAGTTTTGTTTGTTTCTCTAATAAAAAACCCTGAAATCACAATCCTAGGAAAACTGCAATTGAACTGACTTTCACATCCACGTAACGCACTGTATATGAGGATGAGAGGAAGTGGTCATTAAACTTCCTTTCACCATCATCTTCTCTGTATATAGATTTCAACTGTATCGACAGAGACAGGCTTTTAAGTATTAGATGAGAAGCTTTGATTTGGCCTTTAAAAGACATTTTTTCCTCTTTTACTTTAGATTTGGTGTTAAAAAGAAACCAATTTACATAAATGTCATAAGAGATCCTATAGAACGACTAGTTTCTTATTATTACTTTCTGCGCTTTGGAGATGATTACAGACCAGGGCTACGGAGGCGAAAACAGGGGGATAAAAAGGTAAAGTACACTTTATTATGTATGTTGTTCTTACTAAAGTTAATGAGAAAACAATTTAAAAAAATGTCCTGATAAAAGCTGAATAGTTCTTAGTATATGTATCAGCCTTGGTGATGATGCTGGCTTTGTAAATTATATTCTCCCCTTCATGTCCGTACTGGACCAGAGTGTAACATTAAGTATGTTCTTTGTAACCTTATAAATTCACTTGATGTTGCAATTTGCTAAATAAAATAAAATAAAATAAAATAATGTTTTCAGGTATCCAGAGTTGTAAGTATCAAGTTAAGCTTATCCTCCTATGTAAGAAATCTACATCTCTTCTTGTTGAAGACTGACAGATACATTTTTTTACCAAAAGCTGTAGAACTGCTGATGCTTTGGCTTTGATTTTTTTTTTTTTTTTTAAAAATAACTAACAACCCAATTTTTTTTTTTTTAATGTAAATATTGCAATGGAATTATATAAAGAGTCTGCTTGAAAACTATGGAGTATGAATCATACGTTTCTATACTTCCTCCATCTGTCTTAGGTGGCTATAGGAGTAGTTCAGGTTAGCATATTCAAACCTTGATTACTAATACAGTTTCAGAATGGCAACATCATTTAGGCTTCATAATCTATTTATTCCAGAAAGAATTTATACATCCACTGTCATGGTTTACAGTAAGACATTTGTTGGAGCGTGTTGCTTTGGACTTTTCTTAAATCAGGAAGAAAAATAGGGTATTAAGTGTATGAATATAGTTTATGAAACTATAGTTAGAACAGTGTGGAAGCTTTAATAAAGTGTCAGGGGGTTTTGTACTTTACAGAGCCAAACACTTTTTAAAATTTCAGTGGCAATATTTTCTTAAACTGATGAAATTTTTTTGTAATGTTGACAATTTAGTGTAGCACTGTGTAAATATCAAGAGACATTGAAAAAATAACTAAGCAAAAATCACGCTGAATACAGCTTAGTCTATAAACACCGTAACAACTAATAAATGTGACTAATCCTTTTGTGTGGTCCCCTCCATCCAAATAGTGTTTTTTAAATATTGGGAACAGACCATTCCTCTTTTCTTTCCAGTTGATAACTGACTGCTCCTCTGTTATTTAGGTTTTGGCGCCATCTTCTGCTACTGCATTTCAGTTTATCCAGACATCCTACAGCATACGTAGAGGAAAGCTTCAAGCAGAACAAATTGAAATTAAGCTTAAAAACTGTATCTTCATAGAACTGGCTACAGAGATGATTTGGTGATATGGTATCATAATGGCATTTTTAAAAAGAGAGATAGGATCTCATCTTTTGTAACCTACTCTGTTCTTTTTCATGAGGAGCATGATTTGGGCAGTGGAATTCCTTCCTGGTAGAGATCAATGAGTTGGAAAGCTGAGCGTGCTACCAAGTCCAAGCTGTTTATAGGACTTAATACTTATTAAAAAGAGTGAAATTTAACAGTGGTGTTTTAGTTTTGAATTATAATCTGAACAACCTTGTTAGGTAGTCACTGGGAAACATTAAGCCACAATCCTTAATGCTACTGCTTGGTAGACTGCACTGTAAGCTCTGATTTGCTGGAAGAAGTTGAAATGCATTCCTATTTATAAAGTTTGTAATGCATTGCATTAATAATTTTATGTTTTTCTGTTAAAGATGCTTTTTTTCATTTTGTCACTATCATACCACTTTATTTAGGTCTGAGACTTAGTTGTTGCCATACCGATATAACTTCTCATGTAAGCATCTCTAGTTCATTTGAAGTGAAATTGATTTGCTATGCCAAGTTTTAAGAGTTTCTTTCATTTAAATCTGGTAATACTATTTTTCCATGGTGTTTCCAAGAAAACTGTACATATATAGATGGTGTCAGTTTTACATACATTAGATATAAAATTCAGTAAGCTCAACAGTGGATTGACCCAATCGCAGTGTCTATGACACTGATATAGTAGATTCACTAAGAGCTCTTCAAATGAAAAGTAGGGAAGGTCAAAAATGCAATCTTTCTAATGGAAGTCAATTGTTCCTGTATTAAGTGGAAAGGAATCTCAATGTACTTTACACCCTCGCCCCCTTCCAGTCCATACCACAGCATTTATATGGAAGAGTTCTTCATTCATTTTCTTTCTATATCCCTGTGCTTCCAAAGTTATAGATAGCTTGGCTCCAAGAACAGAGTCTGTAAAGATAAATGTTTCTTATAATAAAATATCTGGATGGAGTAGTCAGGGTAAGTATATAAGACGAAGTAGGGAAGGAGGCCTGTCCTATTTCATCTTACTTAGAAAATTACTTGCTTGCTTTTGCGTATTAACTATAAAATAACCTGCAGGTATAAGCAAAGTCGTCTTTCTTTTGACACATCCTAGTTCATATTTAGTATATACATTCATAAGTTAGGAGGTGCATTTAAACAATTTAGTTCTTAGGTAATGCTGATGTTGTAAAGTACTCATTATAGGTCAGTGCAGAATTTCTCTAGAGAACTATGCTAGAGAAAGCATACTAATGTCTTGTTTTCCTAGTTAAGCGGCATTTTTATCTGTGATATGTGATATGTACAAGCTATTCTAAACTCAAAGTGCAATGTGGACCAAGACGCCACAGGTTAATCCCTGCTTTGGTCTGATATCAGTAAGTTTTTCAGATTATCTCTGGAACTTCACCTCAAAACAGAAGCAAAGGACATTGTCCTTGTTCTAACACTGAATAATTAAGCAAATGTATTTTTACATGGTTGTTTTGAACAGCAACTTGTAATTATACAGAAGAAACAGTCTCAAAAGTTGTCTATGTGATCACTTATTTGTTATTAAATAATTTTTAAAAAATCTGTCCTAGATACATGGCTTAGATCTTGGTTAGAAATATCATAAATACTTACTTTATGGTGACTGGGTAAAATATTTACAAATTCTTTCCAATGCCAATGGAGTTCTTATTGTAACTGTATTACTGCAGTTGAAACTCTGTGTTGCTACAGCTGTCTATCTATGTAGAGCGATGTTGTATGGAATATTCTGTTATGCAGTGAACAACTTGCTTTCATTTCTTCTGATTGCCAAAACCAAATGGCCTCTGAAATGGTAGTTATTTGTCATAATATTTAAAATGTAATAGAACATTGTTGAATCTAAAACACAAAATGCACAGTGTTCTATGGTATAAAGATCCAGCTGTTCCAGTATCACACAAATCCTGATGGCATTTGACGCCGTATCTTTAGTGACTTCTTTTGTAAGCGAAAAATCGTCATACTAACACTTATTGATGGTTTTTGCTTGTTTTGACATATAGCCTTTATCAAGGTTATATCAAAGGTATCAGGTAAGATCTAATTGTTCATTAGTTCTAATCATAAAAGACTGTGCAAATACTATTTTAATTGAGACAAATAGGTCCTCCTAATAACACTGTGAAAACAAGACTTGAAAAAATTACTTTTTTTTTCTTTCACATCATATCTTGTGTTTTTTCTGTCCCCACTACATTTAGCAACTAACTAGGTTGAGAAGTTTGATACGTACACTAGATTTTAAAGCTCAATTTTGTCTTTGTTCCAGACCTTTGATGAATGTGTGGCAGCTGGAGGTTCAGACTGTGCTCCAGAGAAACTTTGGCTTCAAATTCCGTTCTTCTGTGGCCACAGCTCCGAATGCTGGTAGGGAGATAAATGTACCTCAAGTTGTTAGTCAAGTATATGAGCACTGAAATCTAAACTTAACAAATTTGAACATGTAGCACAGTTAGGGAAAGTGTGAGGGACTGGACAGAATGAAGCAGCAGGTACTTTAGTAATGTATTTTCTTTTGAAGATGCATTTTAGTGAAAGAGTCTTGCAGTTCTTCAGACAAGCAATATGTTAGGATACTGTATCAGCAGTGCTATGAGGGAAAACAGATGTTTTCAATTTTAAAAATAATTTTTGTAGATTTGGAGTCTTGACATTTTTCTCTTATGTCAGGCTACAGTATCTGTCTTTCTGAATGGAGATATTTTGTTCAAGCTCCTAGAGTTTCTGGGGAGAATAAAATAATTGAGATCAGGATAAATTTATCTTCTTGAACCTTCAGCAGACATCCAGTAGTCAATGTTACTTAGTAGAAACCGAAACAAAAGCAAATAGTCTCCATCAGTCAATGTAGCATGTTTTATAACAATGGCACAGACTTTAAACAACTTTAGCAAACTAAAAAAAAAAAGAAAAAGGGTGTAGATGATTTGAAGGATTCTGAGTGAAATCAAGGGCAATTATTCGTCGAAGGTACTGTTCACCCAATCATAAGCAAAGTAAATGGCCAGTTGGGCCATTCAGTGGCTGTTGGTCAGACCTATCTACACCTGGGCCAGGTGGAGAAGCAGAGAAAGATAGATCTCTGAACCTATCTTTTCACCCTGTCTAGAGCTATAAAGAGGAAAAAATGTCGGTTTAATTTCTGTCTGTCTTCAGTAGAGAAGTCCTCCCATTAAGTGCAATGACTTTCTAGTACAGAACTATACTTGTAGGATGCAAAAGGGAAGGTGTGTTCTTACCAGAACCATTTCTGGTATCTAATGTGAAAGTGGAGACTGAGTATTGACATTGAGAAAATATAAATCCTCCAAAAATTGCATTAATAGAAACAGTAACCATATACACACATGGGTTTTTTTGTGGATGAATTAGTCAAAATAACTAGAGGAGTCAAATTTTTAGATAAGAACACAGATGAGAGAAACTGGAAAGGGAAATGAAGTTAGGAATGGTTGTAACTTGAAATGAGTCTTGCCTTTCCTATACAAATGTCCTGTTATGAAGTAATCTCCATCTAGGGACCAAGGATTGTTGGCTGACATCAGAACTTGCTGTAATTGTTCTCTGTCATTTTAGGAATGTGGGAAGCAGATGGGCTTTGGAACAAGCCAGATACAATCTGATTAATGAATACTTCCTAGTGGGAGTTACTGAAGAGCTTGAAGACTTTATCATGTTATTGGAGGCAGCTTTGCCCCGGTTCTTCAGGGGTGCTACAGAACTGTACCGGACAGGTATTTAAATGGTTGATTTCCATGGATTCCATGGATTTTTCATCCTCTTATCACTTTTTAAAATGTGAATCCTTTAGACCTAGATGAATAGTTTTGAGTCTCGGCCGGGTTTGCCTCTCAGTTGGCTGATGTTCCTACAAAAGAGACAAACTCTTTAAAAGACTCTCAGTACAAATTTTTGACAGCAGCCCAAGTATCTTCCTGCCTTACACAAATTGTAAATATTTAAGGTAAAGGCAGTTCTGTAGGTATACCACACTTAAATTGTGACATGTGTTTATCAGAACAGTTTTGAAAGGTCTTGCAGGGGCTTCAGTTTTGTAAAATGGCTGGTAGTGGCAGATTTCCATTTCCTCAGAAGCCCTGCTGAAATTACCTGTGCTTGATGCAACCTGGTTGGCTGTGCAAAAAGGCCCAAGGAATACAAAGGCCCAAGTACATGTTTATCTTCCTGGGGTCATAATAAGATGTTTGTTATATAGCTAGTAGCTCAGTTTTTAGGAGCTGGCCACACAACTTATGATGAAGAAAAGGTCCATCTTAGCAGGGCTTCTATCAGCAAATAGAGGGAGAAGAGGGTCTGATGTATAAAGCCTAGATGTATGGTATTAACAAGTTTATTATAAAGCAACAGATAGCACTTCTTGGGGAAAATGCTGTCGTCATCTTTGTCTCATGAAAGAAGTCCGTTTCTCTGCAGTTTGTAAAATTCTTAACATTTGATACCAGATTAACATCTAAATAATTAATTTTTGAAAGACCAATCTTGCTCCAAGTACATTATGAATAGTAATCGTGTTCCTTAAATGAAGAGTTCATTCCCTGGGTTTATTAGAGTAAGGAGAAAGAATTGGAAGAACTGATGCAAAATTCAGTAACATTTACTGAGAGAGACTGCAATTTTCCAACACTGCATGTTATGTTAATAAATTCTGGATTAAATTCTGTCACTTCTAATGCAGTTTATCAACATGCTGAGAGTATAAAACTCTGTAAATAAAAGGACTGTAAACATTTTTTAATCACGTGAACTTTAAAGTGAAGTTATTGCTTTCATTTTGCATTTAGGAAAGAAGTCTCATCTTAGGAAAACAACTGAGAAAAAACTTCCCACAAAAGAAACTATTGCCAAGCTACAACAGTCTGAAATCTGGAAAATGGAGAATGAGTTCTATGAATTTGCACTGGAGCAATTTCAGTTTGTCAGAGCACATGCAGTTCGGGAAAAAGATGGAGAATTGTATATTCTGGCTCAAAACTTTTTCTATGAAAAGATTTACCCTAAATCAAACTAATAACACTACACTGTTAGATTTATGGACCTAAATCTTTGGTCACATCGTCATCTTAGTCCTCAGCCATGGAAACTAGATTGCTTGTAGACCTCCAAGACGTTTTCTTATAGATCTGAGAAAAGTGGGCCGTGGATCACCTCCAGGGCGTTGGATACTGGCTAATTATGTTGGTAATCCAGACGCAAAGGCTTCATTTCTTTTATCTAACTAATAATTTCAGTGGGAGTTAATATCCTTTACCTGAAGAAATCTACACTTTAATTCGGAGCAATTAATACACAGCAGTTCTAGTTGAAAATAGAAACAGACAAAAATGCTTCTGTTGATGCTCTTTTTAATTTTCAGAGCAATTTATTTTCATTTATACTTCTGTGAAGAGGAAATCATTTTTCCCAGCTTTCAACATGGAAAATTTGGTTGTATACAATATTAGTAGTGTTAATAACTGGTTGACATCTGTGCTTTGTTTTTGTGAATCATGTCACATGATATTAATTGGGATGGTTAATCATGTTCTGCTGAGAAATGCTGCTGCTGCTGAAATTGCCCATATTTATATATGTGGTTTTATTAAAAAATTACAATTAATCATTAGTATTAAAACATAATTTCCACATTAATATTGTAAAAAGTTAAAGAATCAGAGCAGTGGGGGTTTTGTTTTGGTTTTTATCCCCACCACCACTGACTGAGGTTAGGAAAACTACAAAGAAAGTTGGTATTGTCTGCAGTTCTAGTTGATCCTTACACAGTGGTATAAAAATCATAAATTCAGTATTAAGTTTCTCCATGGATTCTTTGTAATAATTGTAAACTGAGGTATTGGTGAATCCATATTATGACTCCATTAGTGAGCTGTGGTATGGTTAGGGTTTTCCTACTACTTCGATACTTTTACCTGTAGAATATTTTTACTAAGGTGCTTTATAACGTGTTTTAAAGCATTGCATTTACAAAAGGAGTAAAATGCTGTAAATACTGCTTATTTTATGTATTTGGACCAAAAGGTTTAAAGTAACTAGTTTAAAGTGGGTTTTTTGCACCAGTTCTGTTGTGTGAAGTGAAAAACATCACATCTGCTTCCTGGTTGAGTTAACTGTTGGACATTGCTGAAATGCACTTCAGTGACCTCTCCTCCTTCAATACCAGAATGTTGTCCAGGGATTCTCTTTACAGAAATGTAGTCTTCATCCTTTTATTATGGTAAGAGGAAAAGAAGAAAGATGTCATGTGTAGTCTGGTTGAGAAAGATGCAGTGAACTTGATTGACATAATTGTATTTATGTAACTGCCTTATATGACTATTGTAAATTTGTGAGTTGCCATTATTAACAATGTGAAACACCTGGTAGATGAAGTAAATTGAAATTTGAGAACAGATGTTTGGGGCCACTGCATTATAGCAAATGGCAGTGGAGAACGACAAGAATTTCTTTCCTATTGAATTTTCTTAAAGATCTGAGTATTTACATGTCTTACACCTGCCTTTTCTTAAAGTGCTTTTCACAGGGTTTAATGGGGGAAGGCACTGAGGAGACAAAGTAAGGAATGGTGGTAAAGGTTTAAATTCCTAAGGGATGATGCTGAAAGCTTAGTTTAAAATTAACCAAGTGGAGTTTCTTTAACCAGCTTGTTCTTGTAATGAAAACAAAGGAAATGGAAAATGGTCTGTGAACTGGATGTCTGCAGCCAAAAGCAACAGCCCAATTACAGAGAGGATAATGAGAGACTATCAAGTACATCTTGCATTTTCTTTGTTTTCTTGGATTTTTCCCTTTGAATTTTAAAAATAGATCTCTCTTTGTTCTTCCAAAATAATCAGAGAAGTTCCTTCTGATAGCTTACCATTTATATAGCATGAACCATGCATAAGATTTCCTGTTCTACTTCTTGTCTATTGATGTCATTAATAATGCCAACATGTTTGGGAATAGGATGTGTTAGTTCACACATGAAGACATGTTTCCTAGCTAAAGAAAGGAATGGAGGAGTCATACACAAGAAGTAGCTAATGGAGATCTAAAAATTTCCATAACAAAGCAGTAACTTTTTTGAAATAAAATGAATATTTATAATCCCAGGAAAGATTATCCACTCAGTGATAGTTTTATGTTAGATATTATTTTGACTATGTTGTTTTCCTTCAGAATAATTCAGATCAGTTTACCTTCTTGAGTCTCCTTCAGAATTTTCAGAAGAGCACCTCCAAAAAAGCAGAAGAGTTTACTAAGTGAAAACATAAAATATTCATCTAATTAATGAAATAGGTGTGTAGACAAATGCTTCTGTATTGACAAGAAAAAAATAGGCAAAACTTCTACCGATTTCAGTAGGGTCTACAGAAACCTCTTCTATTCTGTAAGCAATTTTAAAAGTTGTGTTTCTTTTTTTTCCTTCCAGGTTTTAGAATTTCTCAAGTATGAGTCTTTAGTAACAAAAATAATAGAACAATGCAATTTTTTTTTTTTTTTTTTACTTTTAAAAGAGCAATATATTTTTCATAGTTTATATAAGAAAACACATTGAATCAGATATCACTTCCTGTTCTTTGCTGTGAACTGACAGGGTTGAGACAAACAAGAATTTTAGGAATATTTTTTAAAAATGCTAGTTACAATTGGAGAGGTATTCATTCCAGACATACTCTGAAAATGTTATTGTCTGTGGAACACAGAAGGAATCAAGACTGTCTACTTTTATATCTAGTGCAACCATTAAGTCAACTGTGAACTTTTTAGAATCCTTTGAATTCAGAACTTGGATTTCCTAAAAGACAGTTTAGGAAAAGGAGCTTCACAGATTTTTAATAACCTGCTCTTTATGTCTTCTATTCAGAAATGGAAACAATCCAAATTGTTGGTATTAAAAGTATTTTACAGTATATAAACAGAATGTATCTTGTATATTTTCCCTTAATGACTTACAGTGAAAAGCAGCAATACATGGAATTTTGTTGCTGCAGGTTGTATGATCAGTAAACTTACTATGCAGCCTTCTGAACATGGATCTTTTAACTGAAGTCACTCTAGTCTCTGCACAGGAGCGACATTGGCTTTTTGCGGGGCTAAATTCGTTTGAAAGGTGCTGAAATGCTCATAAATATATATAGTTGAGAGTAGGTTTTGTTACACTATTCTGTACTTTTTGTACAAAATTAACGCCCAGATTTTGTGCAAAACTGTAGCCCTGTTGAAACTCCCCTGTTGAAACTCTTCATGTCAGCATAATGGCGCTAGGTCCAGCTGCGCTTGTAGCTACATAGCCATAACCACAGCATGCCTGGAGCACTTGTGATACACTGGGCAGTGTTGACAGGAGAGCAACAGTGGTTTTAGCTCCTTCCTGTAATAATTCTGCAGCCGTGCAACAAGAACGTCGCTCTTATTTTGTTAGTGCATCTATAAGCAGACACAAGGCTAGGGTGCAGAATGTCCCATGTGCATATTCCTGCTTGCTCTGCATTGATTTTCAAGCAGCCTCTCTATTAATGGTACGCTGATCATGGCTTCATTTTTAAACAGGCATGAAAATTTATAGCTATACAATACGGGAGAGGAAGAAGCAGCCCATCCTGGTCATTTGAAATGCCTTTTCTAGGTACTTAGTTTTTCTGAAGATACTTAGCTATTTTTACTTTCCAGGAATAAACACTTGCCTATTTATGGTCTCAGAGCAATTATATTTTATATCAGGGAAAATTCAGTTATTTTCTGTTATAATTCTGTTAAAATTTTCCATTAAGCTTACCTGGCGTTGCTAAACATGTATATGACAAAAGGTATATGGATGACGCTGTCTGAACTGTGCTGCTTAAGCAGTCAGTGGAAAAGCCTGATTCAAGTGCACTGCCAATTCAGCTCTTCAAAATTAGAGCATATTTTATGACTACTAGAGATTAAACTTAAGGAAACTGTAAGGCTGCTTAGTTGCATGGATGCTTCCTTTACTGTAAGCCTATGCAACTATGTAACCTTTGCAGCAGTATTTATAGAAAGAGCCCTCTTCCTGAGACTTTTCTGGAGCATAATACTTGTACTGTCTGATATTTACATCAGCAGCTTTCTGTAGCTTCTGTAAAAAGAGACAGGTTTGTGAGCATTTCTAAAGCAGTACTGAATGTAATTTTGAAAAACATGGGTTGTGCTTCATGACTTTTTTCTTTTTAAACACACACACAGCTAAATAGTGCCTTTTTTCCTCACAATCCATGTTGAAGATGCTCACTCCCACTCACCCTCCGTAAATTGATTCATTTGTGCAATACTATTCCAACTTGAAACCATTTTGTCACAGCTGTTTGAGAAATAATCTCCATTTTTCCTTACTATGCTGCCAGCTTTCTGTTGTTGAAGTGTTTCAGTTGATAACCTAATGCAAATGCTATAAAATAAAACACCCAGTGGGAAAGGGAAAGAAAAGAAGTCTGGTGTCCTGTCTTAATATTTGCATGTCACATTCACATTAAATGCTCTTTTTCTAGAAATCTTGCTACACAGTGTTGTGAACTTTACAGCTATTGTGATTTTGGAGGGGAGGGGCAAGCTGGGATGTAGCTTGTCTGTAATAACTTCATATAGCTATAAACAAATCTATAGACCTTTAGAATTTGCGTTGGGCTTTCTGGCCAGAAACGTAATAAATTTGCAGAGGGTATACACTATGCTGAAAGTGTCAGTGAAAAGTTCTTCATATTAAAACCGAGATCTGTAAGAGTAGAAAACTGGCATTAAAACAATGCATTGATACATATGTGCTTCCCTGCCTGAGGGAACAAATGACCTGACTGATTACTGTGGTACTGGAAGATGCTCAGTTACTGCAGTGATGAGTATGGTATAAGAACTTGAGTAGAATAGAAATATCATTTGCATTTGTAAGCAAGCACTTAAAACAAGAAAATCCAGCGAGCATGGGTACACTACTCTGTTTGGGATTTCTGATGCTGTACTGTAACCATTGCCCTATAAACATTCCAGGCTGCATGCACTATGGAGCTGAACAGTCATCTGACCCAGCCAAGTTTCTTAATGCGGTAGTTCCTAAATATTTAGTTGTCAGTCTTGATGATTAAGAACCATTGTGCATTAAGAACTCAGCAACTTCCACTTGAGGATTTTGACGGCTTTTAAATCCCCCTTTCGTTGCAAGTAGATTTTTCCTTACTTCCATCAGTAGAAGTGATAGGTGTAATTGTGGACAGGAAACAAAGTCTCTCTGCTTATATCAGCCAGGGGGAAGTGGAGGAAAAAATTGCCTATATAAAGGTACGGGACTTCCTAAGTTCACTGCACCTCTTTCTGAAATGGTGTAGTAAACAATGACAGCCAAAAGAAGTTACAATACAAAAAATGCTTTCTTTAAAATGACAGTAGCGTCTCCTGTGGAAGACAGAATGACTGTGGTGTTACAGACATGTGTTAAATACTGGTTGAACTTTTTTTTTGCTGATGCTGCCATTTGCACAGGTAGTCAGTCTCATCAGTTGGAATTCATGGGAGGGGAGTGAAAGAAGGAAAGGGCTTTTGTTCAAAGCTAGATTTTTTTTCGGGTCCTGTATTTTCATTTTATTTATTGTTTGAATCTTGCATTTG